AACTATTGTACATAAATTCTCACTACTCCTCTCCACCTCCAACCCAAATGTTAAAGCAGTATTTCACTACATGCACCAACGCCCGGCGAATCACAAAGGTGTCCCCAAGCGAACCCAAAAACAGAGGAATTGCATATTCAAACAAGTAGAAAATCCCATTTTCACATAAAACTGATATCATCACTTCAAAAAACAGCGACTTCAGCGAACTCATCCGGGCAGTACTCACACTGGCTTTGAGAAGAGGAGGCAGCAAAGCAAAAGTCTATAACCTGGGCTGGATTGGTTGAACTGTTAGAATGGATCATTCAAACAGTATTTGGTCCATTATACATAGGTTAAATGTTTAATTTGGTCCCTCAACTTTAAGAAATAAACATTTTTGGTCCCTCAACAATTTTTTGCACTTTTTTGATCCTTCAACTATACGAAATGCACTCCGTTAGTTCTTCTGTTAATTTGAGCCGTTAACCCTGCTTAGGTGGCATTTTTTATTTTATTTTTTTATGATGTGGAGAGCAAAACTTAAAAAAGTGATGACATGCATTAAACTTTTGCCATGTCACATGCTACATGGCAAAAACGCACCAAATCCATCTAAATGGATCCCACATCACCACTAACAATTGCTCCTTTGGCCATTGGTTACTGTTTGTATTCTTTCCGGTGTTTTTTCCATTTTCAAGATTGAAATTCGACAGGGTATTCTTTCCATTTTCAAGATTGAAGTTCGACAGGATGTTCTTTCCATTTTCAAGATTGAAGTTCGACAAAACCCAGCTCGATTCATTTCTTTCCATTTTCAAGATTAAAGTTCGACAGAACTCTGTTCGATTTATTGAACTCAATTGTTCAAAAATCTCTCGCAATAACCTGCAATTTAGAAATCTCTTGGCAAATAATCATATAACAAAAAAAAAACTAGTTATCCAAAAATCCCTCACGGCAAACAATCATATAAACCAGAAAAAAAAAAAAGTGGAGCTGGGTTCTAGCTTCGGTGGAACCCAGGCTGGGTTCCATCGCAATTGGGTTCGATCGCAATTGGGTTTGACGGAACCCCGCCTGGGTTCCACCAAACCCAACAGAGGGTTCAATGACCCGAGGAAGAAAGAAGAGGAAGAAAGAAGTGGAAGAAAAAAAAAAAAAGAAAAAGAGAAAGGAAGAAGATGAACGAACTAGATTAGTTTACTTTTTTAAAATATAAATAATAATAATAATGTAAGTTGGCATGAAAAAAAATTTCACGTCAATGAGTTTTCAATTTGCTTTTGTCATGTCATCAAAAAAATAATAAAAAATACCACATAAGTGAGTTAACGATTAAAATTAACAGAAAGACTAATGGAATGCATTTCGTATAATTAAAAAATAAAAAAATAAAAAAATATAAAAAATTATTAAAAAACCAAAAATATACAACTCACTAAAGTTAAGAAAACAAATTTAACATTTATCCTTATACATATTGCACAACATTGGTGAACAAGCGTGTTTCGTAGTGCAGTACGTTTTCTGTCATTGTCAGTTGTCTTGTCATGATCATGTGACTTTAATGCCGTCAGCAAGCTAGCTGCTAGCTGCAAGAAATCAGACAACCTGCGTCATACTTCTATCGGGCTAATGCCAGCTATCATCCCTCCATTATAAAAAATAAAAAATA